GGGTGTGTCTCCAAGCTGGTCCCATAGCTGAAACTCAAGACCTGCTCAGCAGTGGGAGAGACAGAGAAGTGCATGCAGGTGAGGGGACCATGCACATATCACTGGGAGGCAGAGCAGTCAGGGCTCCACAGTGACTGTGGAGCAGTTTCCTAAAGTCCTCTCCTCAGCCTGCCCTCCCTCTAGAATTCAGGTGCATGTGCCAAGAGTTAACCAGTGGAGGGTGGCTTTTCTATTGCTTACAGCTACAATTCCTCAATTGACACTAACTGTCAAGGAAGCTCACAGGGAGGACGTTTACTATTGCAGACAATGTTCAAAGGGCAGTTGGCGCTCCTGTGGAGGAGGACGCTACATTTCCAATGTCTACATGGAAACCTCCTGGCCGTTAATTTCATTTCTCTCCCAGGGTAAGTTTGCACTGGTCAGTAATGCCAAAGTCCAGTAAAATTCTCTGGGAGCAATGTTCTACTGGGAGCAAACGTGGAAGGACCGGACGACGGCAACAGAACGCACTGAACGACTGTGATTGAAGATTCTTTTTCACTACCTGTTCCCTTTGATATACAAATATGCTTGTAGGCATCTCTCTGCTTGCTCCCACTCTCCCTTTCAGAACTGAAGTATCACTTACTGCACAAAGGCACATTTAACCTTTACCTTTTTATATCCACATGGCCCTTGCCTCATTTCTCCAGGGTTAGGCACCTCTCCTCCAGTTTCGGATAGAACTACTACTACAAAATATACACTGGATTTTTCCGCTCTTCTTAAGGGATCACAAAGTTACATACAATTTTAAATTATGCACATAAATTACCTTTCACCTCAGAATTTCAAATAATCAGAAAAAAAATTAAACATATTTCCAGTAAAATATGCTGTTTCCTGAGCATATACTCATTCACCTTACTCACTAACGTCAAGGCCAATGTGTTTTTAAAAAAAAAAAAAAAAGTTTTTACTTTTAAAACATTACATTTATTTATTGTGTGTGCGCGCACACTACAGTGCTCATGTGGTGATCAGTTAGATCTCTCCTTCCACCATATGGCTCCCAGATACTGAACAGAGCTGGTCAGGTTTGGTGTCAAGTGCCTTTACCATCACAGCCATTTGGCTGGCCCATGAACATTTATGACATTCATTTATTTCATGTGGGTGGGTGTGTTGGTGCGCACGTGTGGAGGTCAGGGGACAACCACAGCTCTCTCCTTCTGCCACGCGGGGCTCCAGGACTGAACTCAAGTTGCCAGGCTTGGCAGGAAGCCCTTTGCCCCCCCCCCCCCCCCAGCCCTCTTGCTGGTCCTAATGTGCTATTTATTATAAAAATCACTACCCAACTAGTGGTAAGCTGGTTCCCATGCTCATGGACTATACATAGGTACAAAATGGACTCTACCAACAAATAATACTAACAGGAACTTTGCAGCCTTAGGAGCCTCCTAATCTTTGGCAATTCAATAATTTTTCCTCTTTTCTGCTACTTCTGTAATCACTATTTGAAATACATTAGTTGCTTTTGGCATATACTGTAATATTCTGGAAAGTTTATTTGAATATCTGACATAAGGCTTATGAGATGTCAATTATGTAAATTGTATATTATTTCATTAAGGCAAAAAAACAATTTTGGATGTTGCTGATTTTCTTTTAGAAGACACATCCTTTATTCCATTTCATTAGGAAAGAAAAATATAAATAGCACTACTAAGGTTGGAGAGATGGCTCAGTAGTTAAGAGTACTTGCTTGTTCTTGCAGAGGACCCAGGCTCAGTCCCCAGCACCCACAAAGTGGCTCCTAACTATTTATATAACTCCTGTTCCAGGGGATACAATATCCTCTTGTGCCTCAGTGGGCACCATGTATGCACATGGTGCGCATACATACAGGCAAGCAAAACACTCATACACAGACGATAAAAATAAATAAATCTTAAGGGGGAAAAAGCATCCCAAATGAAGAAGAATCATATCTTTCACAAATAAGAGAAATCTAAATTAACATTACCTTGAACCTTTCAGCAAATATTAATGAGTAAATCAGCAATAAAGTACGGTTTCTCTTTATTTAGGACAATTCAGACCACATCAAACTACAACCAAGTTAAGGTAGTCAATTGTTTAATACTGACTGTCAGCTGTAACCTGCCTGGCACCACACATGGAATGGTCTAGTGAAGAAAGCTTATGGTACCTACCTTCAAGAAACTTCCATCCTATGGGACATTCCCCATCAAAACAAACAAGCAAGCAAACAAATACCTCAAAATCTTTTCATGTATACAAATACAGTAGATGAAATTAAAGTCAATTTAGCTGGGACGCCTTTAATCCCAGCACTTGGGAGGCAGAGGCAGGTGTATCTCTATGAGTTCCAGGAAAGGCACAAAACTACACAGAGAAACCCTGTCTCAAAAAACAAAACAAAACAAAAAACAACCCCCCCCAAAAAAATTAAAGTCAATTTATATTCATAATAGTATATGCAGTCTGATAAAAAGTATTACTCACTATATTTGTTTAATCAAAATTCCTATAAGCATGTGCTGTTGTTTGGTTTATATAGTTCAGTGGGTCCACTGAGGACTTGTATGCTAGCAATGCTTCACACTGAGCCTCAGACCCCAGGTGAGTTCTGAATGGTCTCTACACTGTATCCCTAGATAATGGAACAGCCATCTCTGTAATGCTTCCAAGTAATCAAGTTGGTAGAGTGCCAGAGTATACCTGTCAGCCACTGCCAATGATCTGTGGGAAGACAGTAAATTCTGAAACTATCTATGGGCTAGAAGATCTACCATATTCCATTAAAATATTTTCTTTGGAGCATGCTGGGGATTAAACCAAGAACCTGGGGCCACAGTCATACTAAACACACATTCTACCAAAAAATACTGAAAGCATCTAATTCAGATTGTCAATCTAAATCTACCACAGCTTAATCAAGCTGTACCAAGCAGATCTAATCACCACCTCAGGAGTAGCATGGCAGGCAAAGGATGTCACTAACACTAAGGCATAGGTCCCTGAGGTCCTTAAAGGCAAAAGTCAGGTCTTAAAAGGAAGGGCCACCTGAGAGCACTCTGGCCTTTTTCTTGATGGGATGGGTTAAGTCACAGAAAGGAATGTAGACTGTGGTTGTTCTGAGTAATGTCTGAGTACTCTCTTGCTTTAATAACACTGAGGGAGGAAAGCAGAGACCCTAGACGCTGTGGGATGATCTTTCTGTATGTTGTGAATACGTATTACTCTCATTGGTTAATAATAAAGCTGTTTGGCCTATAGCAAGGCAGGATAAAATTAGGCGGGACAATCAAACTGAGGACTGGGATGAAGAAGGGTGGAGTCAGGAGAGATATGAGCGAGCTGCCCAAGAAGCAAGATGCCAGAGGACCAGTAAAGCCACAGGCCACATGGCAATACATAGATTAATAGAAATGGGTTAATTTAAAAGTAGGAGCTAGTTAATAATAAGCCTGAGCTATTGGCTGAGCATTGTGTAATTAATATAAGCTTTTATGAGTTTATTTGGGACTGGGAAGTTGGGATAGAAAAACTCTGCCTCTGTTTACACTTAGAGATACTCTTAACACAAAGAATGAAGCTTATTCATGCAGAAGCAACACACACTAAGAGGCAAACTGAAAATGCTGAGACCAACTGCCTTAAAAATGTTTTAGTTTGGGGCTGGAGAAATGGCTCTGTGGTAAAGACTACTTATCATTCTTCCAGAGGACCCAGGTTAAATTACCAGCACCCACATGACAGCTTACAACCATCTGTAACCCCAGTTCAAGGGGACAGGACGGCCACACTCTTCTAGCCTCTGATTGGCATAGGGCATACATGTGATACACAGATCTACATGTAGACACATACACATAAAATAAAATCTAAAAATATTTTGACTCAGCAGCTGTATTTCCACTAATTTACTAAAAGGAAATAGATCTTGTCCACAGATAAGGATATGATTTATAATAGATGAGAAGGAACAAAAAGTGAAAATTAGATGTCAGTGTATTTAGGAGCTTGTTATAAATTATGCTGACATCTTCACTGATCCACGCTCATAGGCCTTAGAAACTGAATTTGCCTTCATTGTTCTCTCCACAGTCTGGCACTGAATATTTTTTGTTTTTTGTTTTTTTTGTTTTTTGAGACAGGGTTTCTCTGTGTAGCTTTGCGCCTTTCCTGGAACTCACTTGGTAGCCCAGGCTGGCCTTGAACTCACAGAGATCCACCTGCCTCTGCCTCCCAAGTGCTGGGATTAAAGGCATGCGCCACCACCGCCCAGCCCTGGCACTGAATATTAAACACAGATTCACTAAGAATAAACTGTACTCAAAATACACTACCATGATCATTCACTATACCATTAAGAAAGCAAAGTGAAGAACAGGGGCTTAAGCTAGACAGGCATCACTGTTCATGCTTGTAAACCTAGTGTTTGGAAGGCTGAGGCAGGATTGCAGGAGTTTGAGGCTAGCCTGGACTATACAGTGAATTCCAAACCTGCCCACACAAAATAAACAAATATAAAGAACACAATCCTATTTATAAAGTGAGTATGAAACACACTGGGACCTTTTCCAAACTGCTTTTTTTCTAGATGTGGTCTTTCTGCTTTCTTCTCAAAGAGCAATAGCTATACTGAAAACCTGACTATTATATGTTAATATAGTACTTTCTCCTTTGGCAACAACCTTTGGAAATAATCTAGAAATCTGGCTCTTCAAGAAAAAAAATTAAAGACTATGAACTTTTTTGGTGCAGTCTTTATTTTTCCAGGATCTAAAATCAGTTTTCACTGGTTATATTAATTGATAAACCTGTTACAGCGAGTAAAAATCTTTGTATATCACCAGGACCTGGTGGTACACATCTTTAATTCCAGTGCTTGTGAGGCACAAGTAGAGACAGAAAATCTCTGTGAGTTCTAGACCTTGTCTCCAAAAAAAAAAAAAAAAAAAAAAAAGTTTGCACTACTATTAATTTGGGATAGCATTAAATGTTTGAGAATATAGCCTCCAATGACTATCCAATAGACAAGGGAAACACAACAGATTTTTAAAGGCACGATCTCTGACTTCTCAAAGGCATTGAACTTAGCTCCCTGGAAAGAGGTCAGCTTAGCAACAGAGGAAAACGTTACAAGGACCCCTGGGCTGACAACTTTTAACTACAGCCTGTGCCCTGTTTATCATACTCAACTCCTTTCATGCTCTACCTTAAAAGAGACAGAAATATTTTAGGCTAAAATCCAATTAGTACTCTGAAAACATCCTTTTGAAGGTTCATTTCTTCTCTGCAAGCACGGCAAAGTGCTAATGAAGGAACTGGAGCTCATTAAGCACCATGGCTTCAGGTACAGCCCTAATAAACTTCCTGCACCTTAATGAGTCCTGGAAGCTGCACTGCCCACTGCAGCATTCTCTGTCAGAACGGAAGAGGCTGGCAGCCAGAGGGCACTGTCAAGTGTTTACAGGGAGATCCATCCAGACAAGGCCATCAACTACAGTGGGCCTCAACACAGGCCACTCTGGAGCGTGAACACATACAGTGTCTTACTGACCACCTCAGTAAAAAGAGCATGTAACACGCCCCCATCCCCGCTGATTATAAACTTATTTATAAAAAATTCTCTTGGCTTTAAAAAGATGCCCAAAACATTTTAAATTCCCAGGCTTGACAAATTTTTATGGAGTGGTCTACTAGGGTGCCTTCTGAGTGTCACTCTCAAAGGGAGTGTCAATGAAGACACGGATGGAAGGACAGAAATTAAATGAGTAAGAAACTTCCTGTCTGAGCACAACCATCAAAGCTATCTGTCTGGAGAAGGTAACTGCCTGTCATGAGCAAAAGCACAAAGACATCAGAAACTTTCATCAAGATTATTTTCTGGGTAATTCTTCAACCATTACTTGTTTAGTATAAGGAACTGTTTAAGTGATAAATAGTCCAGGTCACAGCTGAAGTACTCCAGTCAAGATGAAAACACAGGATAAATGTTACGTAAAACACTCTACACTTTAAATTGTGCTAAGTCAAGCAGCTCCTCAAGACCCCTGGGCTAGGGAACATAACTCCATAGGTAGTCTGCCTAGCGTGCGCAAAGCCCTGGATTTCATACTTAGCAGCACATAAAATCCAGGCTCAGTGGTCCACACCGGTAACCCTAACGTCTCTCGTGAGGGAGGAGGCAGGAGGACCAGAAGTTTAGAATCATCCTCAGCTACAAAACATGAGAACTTGTCTCAAAAAACAAAACAAAACACCAGCACCAAAAGGATGCGTGCCACTAGCAGCTATGACAAAGGAAAAAAAATACGAGTATTTAAAAAAATTTAACTTCTGGGTTTTTTAGGGGGTTAGTTCAACTCCTATTCGTAATAGTGTCGTATGGACACTCATACCATGTGTCCCTACACTGAAAACCACTGAAGGTGCTTAAGGATCGACTAGCACAGACTTGCCTTCCGAGGTCCCCATTTTCCCTCCCACGTGGTGCAGGCCAGCATCCGTTCCCCCGCACTCCGCAGGCCACGGCTGCCGTGCGACACCTGCTTGCAGCCCTCTGACCGTGCGCAGTACCTCCTGCGCTACCCCGGGATCGCCAGCATCCGCACCTCTGAAGCGGTGAGTGACTGCCGCGTAGCCAGGAAGAAGAAGTAGGGGCTGGAGCCACAGGGGCTCGACGCGATCGCCCCCGGTGACAGTCACACCAGCCAGGAATTGTTCAAAAGGAAAACGGCGAGGGGCGGGCGGTGGGTGGGGGGATGGGAACGGGGCCGCGCCGGGTGGAGAGCCGCGCTGGTAGCCGCGGCGGCGGCGGCGGCGGCGGCCGTGGGGACGCCGAAGCCCCAACCCTCCCGGGCCGCCCGCCCTCGTTTCACCCCAGTCCGCGGAGGGCGGGGAACGCGGCACGCTGGGGCGGAGGAGAGCACGGCTCGGGCCCGAGGCTCACCCGCCGGCGAAGAGATGAAGCAGCGTGTTCTCCTTCTGCTGAGCGCCCGTCGCCATGGCCGCGCCGGCTCCGCGGCCCGCCGCAGCCGCTCGAGGGACGCGCGAGGTCTCGGGCTCCGCTGGCCTCGCTGCCCTCCCTCAGGCAGCCGCCGCCGCTCCCATGCGCGAGGGAGGCCCAGGCGCCCGGCTCCCTCGGCGGCGTGGCGGCCGGCCAGTCAGCGGCCTCTGCGGCGCTTCCCAGCCGCTAGCCAGAGCCCGGCGCGCGGCCGTCACGTGGCGGAGGCTGGGCCGTGACGTCACGGGGCGGGGTGAGGCGGGGGTGTGGGCCCGGATCTCGTGTGGCTATTGGACGACAGGTGGATGTGGGCGTGACGATCGCGTAGACGCGGGGCGGGGCCAGTCCCGGGAGGCTGGCCCTGCTAGCTTAGCCAGGCTAGCGAGTGGATGGCTTGAAAACCTGCCCAGGCGGCTTGGTCCTTGCAGTCAGGGCCCACGCTCCAAGCCTCGCCTAAAAAAACAAAATAAAATAAAATAAAAAGATAAAGAAAAGAAAAAAAAGGAGGGAGGGGGAGAGAGAAAGAGGAAGGAAGGAAGGAAGGAAGGAAGAAAGAAAGAAAGAAAAAGTTATGTGTGTGTGAGATTTTATTTTGAGATAGTCTTACTGTGTAGCCCTGGATAGCCTGGAATTGCCATGTAGACCAGGCTAGCCTCAAACTCATATTTGATCTGCCTGCCTCTGCCTCCTGAGTACTGGAGTTAAAAATGTGTGCCACCAGGCCTGGCATATGTTTGGTTTGTTTTTTTTTTTTTTTTTTTTTTTTTGGTTTTTCGAGACAGGGTTTCTCTGTGTAGCTTTGCGCCTGTCCTGGAACTCACTTGGTAGCCCAGGCTGGCCTCGAACTCACAGAGATCCGCCTGGCTCTGCCTCCCGAGTGCTGGGATTAAAGGCGTGCGCCACCACTGCCCGGCTCATGTTTGTTGTTTTAAGACATGGTCTCACTCTGCAGCTCTGGTTAGCCTGGAACTTTCTATGTAGACCAAGCTGACCTTGGAGTCACATTGATCCACCTATCTCTGCCTCTCCAGTGCTGAGATTAAAGGTATGCACTACTGCCGGGCAGTGGTGGCGCACGCCTTTAATCCCAGCTCTCAGGAGTCAGAGGCAGGCGCTTCTCTGTGAGTTCGAGACCAGCCTGGTCTACAGAGCAAGTTCCAGGCCAGCCAGGGCTACACAGAGAAACCCTGTCTCAAAGAACAAAACAAAACAAAAGGTTTTCGCTACCTACCACACCCAGCAGTCTGTGTGTGCTGGGGGTGTTGCGGGCCCACACACGCCACCCTGCCCTTGTGGAGGCCAAAGAGCAGCTTACAGGAGTCAGTTCTTGCCTTCTATCATGTGGATCCCAGGAGTTGAACTCAGGTCATCAGACTTGGCTGCAAGTACTTACCCTGAGCCACCTCCTCAGCCCATTGGATCTTTTTAAGAATTTAATTTTGCAGTATTTCCATATGCAAAAAAAGGATATAGATTACATATTGTATCTCACAGCTCTGAGCTTAAGAGAAAAAAAAAAAACAACACTGGATCTAAAGAGCCTGCCCTCCTCCAGCACATCCTTAGTATTTTGTGCATTCTTGATCTTTCTATAAATAGCATTATATTTGGTATGTATTTTTCAGTGTGAATTTGGTACTGTGTGTTCTGATATGCAGACTGAGATATCCAACTGCTTCTCTGCTTAAATGTCCTGGACAACTGCCACACTGAGACTGGCATCTTCTTACCTCCAGCCCTGGTTCTGGCTGGGCCTTGCCTGGTTACCCTGGCAGCACCCTGATCACATGACTCCAGTGACTTTCCTCACGTGGGCTTCCTCACTTACTTTGTCATTTTATTTAAACTGTTCTAACCATCCTGGAATGTGAGCTTCCTGGGAGCAGGGACCTTGTTTTTAGACTTCGTGGTTGTTCTTGACAGACTGTTCCTGTCATGGTACCTGCCACCTAACATTGCCCAAGAAACTAATAAACAAATGGCCTAGGTTGAACTGATCACTCTATTCTTGCGCAGGCACCAAGGCCATAAATTCCTGCTTCCAAACTGACTCATATTCCCTCCCTCCCTCCCTCTCTCCCTCCCCCTCTCCCCTCCTCTCCTCTGTCCCCCTCCTCCCTTCTCTATCTCATTCTCCCTCCCTCTCTCTCTCCCTCCTCACTCTCTCCCTCCCCTCCTCTCCTGTCCCTCTCCTCCCTTCTCTATCTCCCTCCCTCCCTCCCCCCTTCTCCTCTCCTCTCCTCTGTCCCCCTCCCCCCTTCTCTATCTCATTCTTCCTCCCTCCCTCTCTTCTCTCCTCTCTCTCTCCCTCCCTCCCCATCCCTCTCCCTTCTCTCTGCCTCTCCCCAGCACGGAATTCCAAGTCTGTGTTTGTCTCTCCTGCTTCGCAGCTAGCTAAAAGCCACCTGTTCCGCACAGGCCACTCCTTTGTCCCTTTACCCTCCAGAGCATCTGGAGGCGGAATACACCAACCCTTTGTGTTCCCTTTCCCAGACCTGATGAAAAGCACCACCTTTAGCAGAGCAAGCTGCTAGCCGCCCTGTGTGTACACACAGGACAAGTGGAGTAGGAGGCGAGTTGTGAGCAAACACAGCCGATCTGTATTTGATAGTGGGCACTGCTCAGGAGCAGCTGCCAGGCTCAGTCATCTCAAGTACAGACACAGTGATGGCTCTACATTAAAGCCGTCGCTGCCAGGCGGAGCAGGGGCACGGCAGCGCTCCAAGTCTGGGAATGTAGCTCAGTGGTAGAGCTCTTGGTGTGTATGGGGGGGTGCATGCCAGCTGTGTTCTAATATTGGAGAAAGGAAAGAAAAAGGTGAGATTTTTCATGCTTCCTGTATCTACCAAATTCTTTGCTTTAGTTGCTTAGGAAGTGAGAGCTTGTCTTAGCTAAAGTTGATTTTTAAAGTTTTAATAAAAAGCATTTATGTGTTGTATAAGTGTTTTTGCCTGCATGTACATATGCCACATATATGCCTGGTGCCCAAAGGGGCCAGAAGAGGGAGTCAGATCCCCTGGAACTGGAGTTACAGATGGTTGTGAGCCACCAAGTTGGTGCTGGGAAGAGAACTGAAGTCCTCTCCAAGATGCCTGAGTCGTCTCTCTAGCCCAGGCTGAAGGTAGTCTCTCCAGCCCCGGCTGAAGGTGGTTTGTAGGGTAACGAGAACTTCCGCAGAGCACTGCCAGGCTGTTAACCAGAAGGGCACTGCCCCTCTCTAGGCAGAACTCTGAGTTTTGTTTGTCTGTCTCTGTGTCCTGAGACAGGGTCTCACTATGTAGCACTGGTCAACTTGGAACTCTCTATGTAGACCAAACTAACCTTGAACTCACAGCCCCCAAGCGACACCACACCCCAGCCTAAATCAGAGGAGGTGCCACCCTTGGAGCCCACCCCTTTCCTGGGCTGCTGTGTGAGGCTGGTAGCCAGGCTCTGACCCCCAAGCAGAGCCAGTCTCCTGGCTTCTTCTCCTCAGGCCTGGCAGTGCAGTACTGGGCTGGACACGCAGCTGAGACTCCCGTCTGCCCGTTAGCTGGACACGCAGCTGAGACTCCCGTCTTGTCAGCAGCGATGCAGCTCTGCTGTGAGAATTTCCCCAAGGCCTTTCACGTACACTGTCTCCCTGCAAACCCATGCTGCTGGCAGCCCTGTTGTTTTGCTCCCTTTTACGAACAAGCAGGACAGATCTACTCAAGGTCAACAGCTAAGTTGGCGGCTGATGTAATGATTTGTCATGCCTCTGTACTCTTGAATTGTGCTGCTTCTGATGCCAAGATGTCACCCTTCCTCCACTGCCCAGGTTCCTTCTGGACCTAGAATCTCTCCCCTCCCTCCCCCTTGCAGTGAGTCTATCAAGCCTGCTCGGCCTCTTGCTCCTGTCCCATCCCCTGAAAGGATTTAACCGCAGCGTCTGTACCATGGAGCTACAGCATGGAAATCATCTACAGTGAACTACACTAGCCTTTACTCCCTGGTGGATCTCTTGCTGGGAAGGAGGACCAGGGCAGCATTTTCAGAAGGAAGTATGGAAATTTCTGTTGACATATGTAAATAAGTTCTTCAGCTCGGCAGTCCCACATGGAGGAAGCTATTGGTTCTGTTTGTTTAGCATATTTAATGAGACTTTATCCTGTTTAAAGCAGTATTCTAGGCTCTGGGGGTACAGCAGAGGCTGAAATGGATACACATCCTTTATGAAACATGCACACCTTTGGGTCAGTTGGTAGTGTGCTTGCACAAAGCCTTATGTATCATATCCATAAAAACTGGGCATGGGAAGCTGGAGAGATGGCTCAGCAGTTAAGAGCACCGGCTGCTCTCCCACAGGATCAAGATTTGCTTCCCAGCACTCACATGGCAGTTTATTTACAACTGACCATAACTCCAGTTCCAGGGAATCCAATGATCTCTTCTGGCCTCCAAGGGCACCAGACATATATGGTACACAGACATATGTGCAGACAGAACATACATATACATATAAACAAACAAACAAAAATAAATAAACTGGGCATTGTAGATGGAGTTTTTTTGTCCTGACCCATGGCTCCCCCAAATAACCACACAGAGACTTATTATTAATTATAAATGTTCAGCCGATAGCTTAGGCTCATTACTA